TGGCTCATCAACAGGAATAGTCATACAATGGAATTTATTTTCTCCACCAGCATCATGACTGAGTACACTTATAACTAGAGGCACTTTGATTTTAGTACCTTATTCATATGACTTTCCAGGGTCCCAAGTTTCAATCATTGCAATTGAATCGCAGAATGTCTGGTTAAGCAACAAGATGCCAATTATTTCTATTTGTATATGTGAAACACACTGCTCGTCTTCCTTTCACTCAACAATGTTCATTGGAGGTTCCCATGTTCCTGCAAATATTTTAGCAGGAAAGACCTCTATACATTTCGGAATACTCTTGCTAACAAAGAGTATTTTTAATTGACGTTCAATATGGTTCCAATCACAACCCACCAACCCAACAGAATTGCTTCCCTCATTGTCCATTTTAAAGAGCCCATTCCATTCATGCTCCTCGGTAAAACGTTTCACATTTGTAAACACTTCATTGGTTTTCGTTGGCTCCAGTTCCCCGCCTAAATGAAGTCCATTGGTGAGTCCCTCATTGTAATTAGGTTCCAAAACAGTGATAAGCTCATCTACGGTGCCACCACCACTTCTCACACCCAAAGTCAAGAATCTTCTGTTCTTCTCCACATAACCCATTTGAAACCCACTTTCCGAGCATAGAGACCCCATTTTCACATTCTTCTCCTCATCTCCAGCTTCGTGTTGTTGAGGAATTTTATCAAATAGTTGGTCTCCATTGTTTTCCTCCTCCTTATGTTGAATTTCCGTCAATGGACAGTCATCATAGACAAGAGAATCTTCTTCTTCATCCTCCAGTATTGCTTCCTTTGCAATGTCATTCTAGAGAGATGATGTTCCTATCCTTTCTCGCTCAGACAAATTCATGTCTTTGTGAAGATACCGCGTACGCACTTTTCCAAAGTAATCGAGATGATATTTATCAAAGAGAACTCTTTGATGCTTTATTTCGTCGGCGTCTCCTCTACTGCCATGATGTTTCTTGTGCTTTCTAATACAACCACAGCAGGCACTGAGGTATCCTCTCTTCTTTCTATTCTTCTTGAATCTTGTCAACATTGTTGGCTGATCTCTACGTGTAGGAAAAGTTCCAGTTGCACTCACCAACACCACAGAACTATTATCCAACTGAACAAAATATGAACCCTGATAGTTACCGTCAAAATGATAAGTATATAGAACATGGTAAAGACAAGTTTGCGAATAACCATTGTAACACTCAACACCACAGGGATTGAAATTCATAGCTGGACTGTCATACGGATGAGAGTAAGTGTATGCATATAGATTTTCATTGTAATGCTCAACTCAAGAGGATTTTAGATGAAAATATGTATTTGCACCGGAATACTGATGATTTGCGTATGGGTTGCCGAAAACCCGCTGCTCACTCTCCGATCTTTGAACTCCACACTGATTTGGGGAACTGTGGGAGGTTCGGAAGCGATTTTGATACCATTCTTCCATATGCTGCAGTCTTATGTTCGATATGTCAATAAAAGCTTGAATCTTTTGCTCAAACTGATTCGAACTTCTGTCGGGCTCCACCGTTAACTCTGATGAACGGCCGAGAATCGCCGACTCTGATACCAATTGTAGCAATTCCCCGGTGGAAAAAGCCATTAAAATTAAACTAAGAAGTAACTAAGATAAAAGAAAGGAAAATGCATAGATAAGATTGGTTTTTTCATTCAACATGTCTACAAAAAGGGAACTACGCGATATTTAACTAGAAAATAACACAACGACCTAGACAAGTGTCGACTAACAGTAGTGACACCTTTAAGGACTGAAAAATAAATAACAGGGACTCAAATGATAATAATTAAACTTAGGACCCAAGAGCATAAAATACGGTAAGCTGATTCTCGCCCCAAATGCTACAGCTTGTACAACCTCTTTTCCATCAACGTCCGCGCTCTCTTGGAATTAATTGCACTTCAGTGGATTTTTCTCTTCAAATCGTTATTTTCTGGTGAGTATTTTGGTTCTTATCATGTGCTTCTTTTCCATCTTTGATAGCATCTTAGAAATTTGTGTTTTCTCTTGAGGAATTAGGGCTTTTGTGCGTGAAAACTTTAACATGCCAAGAGCTTTTGTTATGTAGGTGTTTGACAAAAAAATTCAATGAATTGGGCTTTCTACTAAATGTCTTACGTATCTCATTTCATTTTTGGTATTGTCTGCTGGTATTTTTCTATCGATCTTTGGTCTTCTTTCATCTTGATTAGTGTGATCAAGTTTTTTTACTTCAAGCATATGAGTTTAGATGCATACTTTGGTTTCGTGCAGGGCAGCACATGTCTTGCTATTTCTTATTCCAGTCACACGGCTTGCTATATATTAAAGCGAGTTGCATTAATGAACTCCAGTTGGTACGGTTATTTTTGTTGGTCTGAGGCAACTAGGTGTGTGTTTGGTTCTACTGATAAAGTTTGACAATACTAGTTTTGTGAAGTTCTTCATGAACAGAGCATACAGAAGATAACTTTTAGGATAATAATACAGAGTTGTAATCACCAGTAGAACATAGAAAGAACTAAATTCAAATGGGAAAAGAAAATAAAAACTAAAACTTTGATGCCTCGGAATTGAGAAGACTGCAGAATATAAGAAAATTGCTCAAGAAAGTGATAAGGGTGGGAGTTGAAATATGGACATAAATTGTTCAGTCATAAAGTTGAATACAATTTGATACCTGAGTTACCAAACCATTAAAAAGAGGCTTAGCAGCACGCTTAAGGTAACATATGAAATTGTGAATGGCTTATAGTCAAAGTGATATAGATAACGAGCAGCTACAAGACCATCAACACCATTACTGCCAGGACCATCAACACTATTATTCCAAATCAGCTGGATTATTTTCTCTACGAAGAACTAATTGGTTCATTTCAAAGAAAGTAGAAGTTTTTGCAGTCTATATCTTGATTGAAATTTAAAACTGATAACTTATAATCTTTGATGCAGTCTTTAACTTATAATCTTTGATGCAGTAAGACTTTGTTGGTTGATTAATGCAATTGATATGACTTGCTAAGCATTCATTGTCATCTATTTCTATTATGTGATTTGCTTGGAGTCTTTAACACTTTTAAATTGTACCAACTTTTCTTCATATGTATTCTCGGACTTGCTTGTGATATGTTTTTTTGTGACTTGCAGTTAAGTATCAAACCACATGAAACAATTAGAGTATCTGGGCTTACAGTTCTAAACTGTACTGTTGGTGGACGAACACTTTGATGTAAAGCCAATAACTTTTGCATTGATATTACCTTTGACTCACAACTACTGCTCTTATGGTTCTTCATCTCCATATGAAATCTTTCCCAGATGTGCTCATTCTATATATGCTTAGTTAATAATTCTGCTACTCATTTTGATAATTTCGATAGAGATAAAAATGTTCATTGCATCTGCTGATCTGTGAGTGTCACTTTAAGTGCACAAAAAGTGACATAGTCGAGGAAAAGCTTTATTGTAGCGTTAATTATAAAAAAGATTAGGTTATGCTTTATTTGGTTATTTGCATGTACTTTGGGAGCGTGAAAATAGTATGCTTCATATAACTACAAGGAAAATTCAATATTCTTGGATCTCTTATCTAACAATATCCTTTTCTATTTAATATTGATAGCTTTAGTACAAATTTACCTAACTTCTTGCATTGTTTTCTTCCATCACTTGCATTAAAGTAGTGTTTCTATTGGTAAACCAGCTGGAGAAAATAAAGTATTTGTGATTTACAAATATAAAATATTATATTTTTCCAATTTATCACACTTGCGGTGTATATACTAAGTTCATTCTTCGATCTTGATGTATTTTCTTTAAAATCTATCTACACAAGCTAGTTGAATCGATCTTATATCATATCTCTCTCAATTGCGAAATATTATGTATTATAAGAGCCCGTTTGGACATAAGAATTTTTTTACTTTTTTTCGAAATTTTATTCACTTTTTTCGAAATTAATGTTTGGTCATAAATTTTGGAATTTTTCGAAAATTTGAAAAACTCCAAAAAATTATTTTTCAAAATTTTCATTCAAATCGCTCAAAAAATTTCAAAACCGACCCAAAATTATATTCATGTCCAAACACATCTCTAATTTTCAAATATCATTTTCACTTGAAAAAATTTTCACTTTTGTTTTGGAATTTTACAATTCTATGTCCAAACGCCCACTAAGACTAGGACTTTACAGCTCAATTTCGTTGCCGGATAACTTTGGCAGAAAAATTACTTCTCCAATATAGTCGAGTCATTTATAATCTGTTATATATCAATTGTGTTACCTAAAAAAATTGTAGAGATTTACGCTCTAATTTACCAAAAAAGATGCCCAGCTTGCAACAAATAGCCCTCGAGGGTGTAAATTTATCACCATCTGCATTACCAACACGGAGGATTTAAATATAAAAGTGAGTGACATCTAAAAATAATATTAATAGCAATACTAAATAGTTGTTGGGTTCAGGCATAGCCCCAGGCCCCAGCACACCCTCACTAGTATAAGAATGTACTGAAAGTTGTATTAGAACAATAGAGATGTATAACTCAAAGTAGTGGAAAGTGAAATCCCCAAAGACCTGCGTGTAACAAGGGACAAAAGATATCGGGATCACAAAATTCAATAGTCTTACAACCAAATGCTTAAACTAAAAATTGCTGCTATATATATAAATATAATATAATTTATGTATAATATGTTAATAATTAATGAATAATCTATATATATTAGCTAGGGAAGATAGACAGTGAAACAGGGGTTGCCATTAGCATTGCTGGGTAATCTATTGGGTTTAGGTGCTTCGTATAGGCCCATATTTTGCCTAGTTAGTGATAGAATCTTGAATTTGCTGACGGCGCGTGGCCCGCTTAAACTCAATAATGATCGAAAAGGGCCGAAATAGAATTGGGCCTGCTTCCACAGCTCGTGAGTTCGCTCATTGGTGTGATCGCATATTTCGCAGCAACTCCTCCACAAAGGTATCGGAATTCTAAAGCATTCTTCACTTCACTATCTGTTCGTTCATCTCGATCCTTTTTCTATTACACATGCTTGGTCGCTACCTAGAAAAAAAAAAAATATATTTGTGTCTTTTTGGTGTAGCCGTGCGTTGTTCGATGAAATGCTTAGCTGAAAATTTAGGTGTTAGACGTCTTGGATTAAGTACTTAATTGGTTACTCCATAACTTGTTTGCAGCTTTCTTTGGAAAATTTTGGTGTTGAGCAGAAAGCTTAGTAACTTATCTGAGGACTATCTATGGAGGGAGAAGAGGATCAGGTGAAGAAGGAAAGGGTAGTAGAGGCGAGAGCAAGAAATATCAGCCACAATGTCAGGTGTACAGAGTGTGGCAGTCAGTCCATTGAAGACTCTCAAGCTGATATTGCCATTTTACTCAGAAAGGTATGTCTTCTGTCTTACATTTTCACGCATTTGCATCACTGGTTTCCACAACAACAACACAAGTCTCAATTCCAAGCTCGTTGAATAGAATTTTTCTTTCTCGGGTTGAAATTTATGGCCAATTTTCAATAAGAAAGCATTCCTAGAAGGGCCAGAGGGGCTTATGTAACAGATGGCTGATTACATAGAGCTCAAACAAAACATGTAAGGTCTGGTTTTATTAACTGAAAGTAATATGTAATCCAAATGGAGGAAGCAAATCTACAATTTGAGAGGAAATTCATCTATTTCTTGGTGTTGGCAAATATAGTTTATGTATATAGTAATATCATTTGGTAGGGGTATGCTTCACTATGTATTCTGGGCTCTAATTTTGAGGTAAAAATATCTTCTGGGAACTACCTTCGCAGATATAAAGAGAGTATTTTTACTCAGATTCTTCTGTCTATCAATAACCACATGCATTGCATGGTGGATGTGAAGAAGTAGACCATTATCTCGGCAATGATGAGCCAAGCTAGTATTTGCTCACTGTGAACACCC